TTTTGCAACCTGGTTGATTCTATGATTACATGGCAAGCACTTGTGATATATCCTGTAGATTTCTTAATGTCAGCTGCTCAAATGCAAAATAAATAAAATTGTTAGCATTTTATCTATTCCAGGTGACATAGACAGCTCTCTGGAAAATGCAACTGTTTCTTTATCAAATCTTTTTCTAGAGTCAGAATTTACTGAAACTGGAAGAAGAAACAGCATGAGATCTGCTAGGGATTTTCTACCAAGTTGTAAAGACTGGGACTGGTAAGAGATGTTTTCAGTTTCTTTTATCATTTATTTTCTCTCATTGTCCAAGTAAACCATGAGTAAACAATATATTTGGATTGTGCTGAAGTCAATATAAGGTTCTTTTTTTCTTGTTAAGTAAAGAACTGTTTGTGGCTGACTCGTGAGATAATGTGGATGCTGATTTTGATGAGGAGAACTGTCTTGCTCACTGTCTAGTCTGTGTGTGTTGGAATTGCTGATGGGATACAGGGGTGATAGAAACTGATCCAGGTGATACACATTGACTGGGAGGAAAGCAAAGAGCCCAGGCTGATGAACAGATTGACATTTATTTAGAGAGAATTGGATTCCACAAGCCAAGAAATCTCTTTTCAGAGCTACTTTATGCCAAATATGAGAAAGAAATAAATTCAAAAGGGGGGATTGTATTTTTAGTTTGCGAGGAATTTGGTGGTTTATGGTGTGAGAGAAGTGTTATTTTTGCCTGTTGCATACATGTGCTTACAACATGAAAATCCTAGTTATTGTTACTGCTTTTGAGTCAGCAACATTATGTATTGCTGTTGTAAGTCTTGTGAGTAATAATGCCTTCCACCTAAATGATTTAACTCTGCTGTTATCAGCCCAATATCAAAGCCTTCCACTGAGCAATGTTTACCTATTTATACAGACCTCTCTCAGGGCTCAGTTATGTAGCATGAGTAATTTAAAATCACTGCTGTTTTGTATTTTTAGCTTGGATGATGAGCAAGATTCTCTTTGTGACTCAAGTGCTCTAGAAATAGCAGAAAAGACCTTTACTTGCTCTGAAACTGATGCAATTCATAATACAGCTACATACATGGAAGCAGGTAATAAATATTGAATTACAGCTCTCTGTGAGGTATAGCATGTAATTTAAAAAGCTTCTTCCTAAATATATTTCTATTCAGTTCAGAAATACAATAGTCAGCTAAAATGTATTTTAATGTGAGAATTCGACCTTTTGTGTATGAGTAACTCCTTTAGAATTATTTTAGGAGGTCCAGACATAGAACCATCAAGGTTGAAGAAGACCTCGAAAACCATCAAGTCTAACGATTAACCTGTCTCTGCTGGAACCCCTAAACCCTAAACCAGATCCTCCAGGGTCAGATCCAGACACCTCTTCAACACCTTCAGGGATGGTGACTCCACAACCTCCCTGGGCAATATCCCAGTGCCTCAACACCCTCACAGGGAAAACATTTCTCCTCACATCCAATCTGACTCTGCCCTGGCTCAGCTCAAGGCCATTCCCTCTAGTCTTCTCCCTGCAGCCATGGCAGGACACAGAACCCCCACCTCTCTCCAGCCCTGGCAGGGAGTTGCAGAGAGCCACGAGGTCACCCCTGAGAGCCTCTTCTCCAGGCTAAACAAACCCAGTTCCCTCAGCTCTTCATCATCCCACATTTTCCTCAGCCCTTGACAATGTGCAAGTCCTGCTCAGTCATAGCTGGAACATCCCTGAGTTTCCAACATTGTTTCCAGCATAAATCCAAACCACAGCCTCGTACTATGGACAAAATTGACTGTACCTGAACCAAAACCAGCACAGTACCCAAATTAGTATTTTTAATACTGCTATCTAAGTAATCTTAGCCTGGTGTGGTACCTAAGTGCATTTGACCTTGCAAGATGTGTCTCCCCAAATATCCCAGTATTTCCCATCAGTTGTCTGTGAACTTTGGCCATTTGACTCTTTGTGAGATCCAGCCATTCCTTGCTGTGCTGTCTGCAGCTTTTATCAGCTCCTCATGCTGTAATGTGTCATGTTTAGCTGTTTCTCCTGTGGTGTCCAGTAGTTTTAAGTCTTGTTCTGTTAACTGAGGTGTCAGGCTAAGGTCTAGTCAGCAATAAATCACTTGCCTGAAGCCCTTACAAAAATAATAGGAGATTTTGGCAACAGTATGATTCAATCTGTGCATGTATTCCATCCAGGTATCTCTGGGATTTCTATGTTGCAATCGAGGGCATAGTTTTACTTCTATAACTCCATTGATTCCTGATCAGTTCAAACAAGTCATGACTAATTTTTTAATGTAAAATGTTTTTTTTCCTGTCCATAGGCAGCATCTTACCTTGTCATTTGTCTGCAAATACACAAGGAAAATACACAAGTGACCAAAATATTAGCAATGGTTTGTTAAGGAGAATTGTGAGTGGAACTGGTGCTCAGGCATGCAATGGACAAGTTGTAATCCCACCTCACGTCAGTCAAATTTATGATGAATTATTTGTCATTCATCAGAAGCTCCAGGTAGGAACTGGAATCACCTCAAAAATTTTGTTGAATGATGTTATGCAGATTGTCACTTTTGATAAAGAAATCAGAAAATACTTATATAGAAAACTGACTGAGTGAAACTATTATTTACTGTTACTTTATAGTAATCACAGATAGAATCATAGAACCATCAAGGTTGGAGGAGACCTCTAAGATCATCGAGTCCAACCATTAACCTGTCACTGCTGGAACCCCTAAACCCTAAACCAGATCCTCCAGTGTCACATCCAGATGCCTCTTCAACACTTCCAGGGATGGTGACTCCACCACCTCCCTGGGCAATATTCCAGTGCTTGAACACCCTAAATATTTACATACTAAACCTCTGTATTCATCTGCCTCTTCCCCTGAATTAATCCACTGATTCAGTAATGGTGCTTGGACTTGCATTGTGAGTAGAACAGGTAAAATTCAGCTTGAGGGACACAGTGCTTTGACATCTGAGACTATGCTGTGACACACTGTGGCCATGAAGGGCAGCACCCACAACTGTTGCTTCTCTTGAAAGCATCTGAAATCTTCCTCCTGACTCTAGACATTCCAGAGCACTTGCCTTCATGGCCTCCTGCAAAAATCCTCCGTGCATCCCACCAGTTCATCACCTATCAGGCCTAGGCTACCAGCAGCAGAATCTCCTATATGGTTCTACTCTGTAATAGCTCCTAAGCTTCTGCTGCATTCCCTGCCATGACTGTCTTTTGCACCATGTGAGATAAAAATAATCAGAGATGCTTCCCACAAATTGAGGAAATGATATAATAATCTAGAGTTCAGCACAGTCACATCAGACTCTGGTTTGTCTTACAGTTAATACCATTATCCGAGTCTTTCAGAAGTAAAAGCCTAAATTTAATTGTCTAGGTTTACACTTGAGCAATCATGTAGTGTTGAAGTTTATATTTTGGGCTGCTGAGCCAATGCACATCAAAGTCACTTGGGTTAAGATGTGAGGAAACTGAACATAGAATGCCACCAGAAGACTTTTCGTGAGTAACGCTCATAACTCATAACTCACCCAAAAGCTAAACATATCTCTGGGACAAAAATTCAAGTTTGGTATAATCTGTGAAAATTTCTAGGGTTTTAAAGTTGTCTCAACATTTTTTTTATCCTGATACAGAGAGAAAGTTCAGCACAGCATGAGTATTCTCTGCAGCTCCAGAAACGAGAGCGTCTGTCAGAACGAGAAGCATTGCTCTTCACACATGAAGCAGCTCTGGCTAAAATCAGAGGTGTTGAGGAAGAAGTTCATATGAAATTTGGAGTTATAAAAGAGGTGAAATAATGTATTTAATGATAGATATTGCTCTACAATCTATTTAATCTGTCAGAACGAGAAGCATTGCTCTTCACACATGAAGCAGCTCTGGCTAAAATCAGAGGTGTTGAGGAAGAAGTTCATATGAAATTTGGAGTTATAAAAGAGGTGAAATAATGTATTTAATGATAGATATTGCTCTACAATCTATTTAAAGTTGAAATTTGGAGTTATAAAAGAGGTGAAGTAATATATTTAATGATAGATATTGCTCTACATTCTATTTAGCTTGCAGTCACCTCAAGCCGTCACGTGTTTGTTGGAAACAATGCTTATTTCTTTCAAGTGCTTGAAATCCCCAAATGAAAGATTTGCATGAAAAGGACTGAACAATCTAGGGGGTTTGTATGGCTTCTGTTTCATAGTGGTGCATTTGGTTGTCTGATCTGTAGAGGTAACTTGTTTCTAAAACAGAGAAAGCTTTATGACCAGTATTAGAGGAGAAATTGTGTTCTGTCTGTAAGTAACCTAAGTTAATATCTTTGCATTAGCTGTAGTTGAAATGGATTTCCTTGGGCTAATTTGAACACGCATTGAGATCTTATGACATAACACCTATTGAAGAGAGTGTTATCAAATGAAGGCTCAAAAAGTTCAGAGGATGATCATCCTCACTTTGCGGGTGTGGGAAGAAATCAAATGGTATAAGAGAGGTAGTAACACTGTTCTTGGGAGAATGAATCTGGTTTTTCTCACTACTGGCTGAATATGTGAATTTGGCCATGCAGAATAACAGACTTGATACATGAGTGTTTGTCCCATTGTTTTAACACTAAAATGGAACTTAGTGTTTCTAGAATAGTCTCTTTGGAATCAGATTCTTAAATGTGATATTTCTGTAGCAACACGAAGCAGAAGTTAAACAGCTGACAGAAGCCTTGAGGGAGTTAACTAAAGAAAACAGGAGGCTGAAGTCATCATTTGATACCTTGAAGGAAGTGAATGACTCTTTAAGAAAACAGGTACAATTGTTTCCTACTAGAAAGATTTTTAGCAGTTGCAGTCAACAGGTTTAATATTTGAGCAGCTTTAGTTTGCAAAATTGCTGATTTTTTGTTTCTGTAAGGCAAGAACTGTATGTGTGACTGAAAGTACTTTCCATGCTTTTTTCTAATCCTTGAAATTTAGCCTTTGTGATCTTTTACAGTATTAAAAAAAAGTTGGACTTATTCCTCTGACCCACGAGGAACATCTAATGGTTAGGAAGGGAAAAATCTCTGAAGCAAATTGAGAGTGGATGGAGAGAAAGTCTTTTATGATGTTATAGAATCCACCCTGTGCTGATTTGATTAAATAAAAAGTAGAGTGTGCATTTCTCACTCCGTTTTTGCTAGTTATTTCCAGTCATATTTGCAAATGTGAATTAAGGCAGTATTTTCTCAGTTCTTAAACTGAGACAGTGTTTTCATAGGGGTACAGAAAGAAGGAATTTGTCTCACATGGTTGTTAAGTCTGACCTAAAATGCTGGCACACTTTAATATGCACAGAAGAAAAAACTTGAACTTAAATAATTTAGCTGCTCAACAACAACATCAAATTATTTTAGTGTGATAACGAAGTCAAGAAGTGAGATTTGAACCTCAAAGCTGGAACCTCCTGGAGCAGGTCCAGGGGAGGGCAAGGAAGATGCTGAAGGGACTGGAGCACCTCAGTGATGGGGAAAGGCTGAGGGAGTTGGGGCTGTTCAGTCTCCAGAAGAGACGACTGAGAGAGACCTCAGTAATGGATTCAAGTCCATGAATGGGAAGTGCTAAGAGGATGATCAGACTCTGCTCAGTGGGGGAAACCAATAAAACAAGAGGGAACAGCAAAAACTGATACCCAGGAAGTTCCACCTGAACAGGAGGAAGAACTTCTTTGCTGTGCAGTCACTGAGCACTGAACAGATTGCCCAGAGAGGTTGTGGATTCTCCCTCACTGGAGATATTCCAGACCCATCTGGACACAATCCTGAGCCATGTGCTCTAGGATGGCCCTGCTGGAGTTGGGAGGTGGGACCAGATGACCCATTGTGGTCCCTTCCAACCTCACTGGCTCTATGATACTGTGAATTTACAGATACTTTAATATTTTATGTTTCTTTCAGTTAAGTGATCTAACTGAGCAGAACAAGAAGTTGGAAGGTCAAGCACGAAAAGTACAAGCTCGTTTAGAGAATCTACAAGTAAGTTTGTTCTTGCATGTCGCTGCTTCCATTATAGGTATCTAGTGAAATAAAATTCTTAATTTCATTTTGTTGTAGAGGAAGCATGAATTCTCTATGGTGCAGAAGTCTAGCAATGTGTGTCAAGTGGTGCAACAAAGCAAACCTGTGAAACAGGGAAAAGTGATGGTGACATCAAAAATTGCCAAGGTAAGAAATGAGCAAAGGTCTTGAATCTTTTCATTTCAAAGACATTAGCCAGGATAACAGTCTCTGCATGTCTCTGCTAGAAATTACAAAATATAGCTTCCAGGTTTATTTTATGAGTATATTAGGGAAGTGGTGGAGTCACCATCCCTGGAAGTGTTGAAGAGGCATCTGGATGTGACACTGGAGGATCTGGTTTAGGGTTTAGGGGTTCCAGCAGTGACAGGTTAATGGTTGTACTCGATGACCTTAGAGGTCTCCTCCAACCTTGATGATTCTATGATTCTGTAGTATATGTGTATATTTTTATGGTATATTTTCCACTTCCTGTCATGTAATCTTTCATCTGCCAGTCAGAATTATAATCTGCTTCCACTGTATCAGGTTTCTGTTGCTATGTCAGAGCAAATCTTAAACTCATTCTGGTTGCTGCTACAGTACAGCATTGTCCTTAGGAATAACTCCAGGTAAGAAGTACTCACTATGCAGTATCAGGTAAAGAATCTTAACCTTCTAAACCAAAAGTGTTTTGCTACTGCTGTTTTTTTGAGAAATAATCCTTAATGAGAGAAGAGAATAAGTGCAGTGCTCATACATGCTTCCAAAATGATCACCTTTTTTCCTCAAAAAATCTTCTTACATCACTTAATGAAATACTTTCTGCCTCCATGTACTTCCACTTAGTACCAAGTGCTCTGGTGTTACTCTGCCAGCAGCTCCCAACTGGTCATGATTTTTTCCAGCTAGAGGTGAACTGTGGAATGAGAAAGAGATGTTCACACCATTCTACTTAAGTGACCTCCATTGGATGCCTTAAGACTCAGCTGTCTGTGTATAGCCAAGATATTTCTCAGTTTACACAGGTTTTAGCATCCTTTGGTTGCAAGTGAAATACAAATAGTGTCAGTAGTTACAGTTGTGAGTGAAGAGGAAAGGAATTACCCAGAGGTTGATAGAAGAAAACTTTCCAAGTCTTCAGAGAACTGATTGTGCAGCCTGTCCTCAGGTATCTCTGGGTAACTTTAATAGAATATTTCATTGCACTGCAGCAGAGCCAGAATGACAATTTCATGAAGTCTCTGTTCTTTTGTTTACAATCTATTTACCCATTTAAATTTTAACAACAATAAACTGTATGAAATAAAGCAAAGTAAGCCCTTTGAAATAAGAACTTCCCCATGCAAAGGACATTAAAGACTTGTTTTCTCATCTAATTCATCTGTCCAGAATTCTAAAATGGAATCATTCTGTATGTGAAAATTTTTTTCCAAGGTATTATACAACCATTTGTTCAAGTACAAAATAAATATTGCCTGTTCTGCACTGGGGAGTAAAGTGAGAGAGAGAGAGAGAAAAAGCCACTTCAGGATTCCTTCTGGGTCTGTGTAAGAAAGGCCTGATAACAAATGGCTTAATCAAATGGCTGTTTACTCTGACAGTAAGAGTAGGAATCAAGATAGCAGTGAATCTTATGTCCCTTCAGATTCTGGAAACCTCATGTCTGTGCAGCTTCAGATGGAGCCCAGGTGGATTTTTCCCAGGGCATGCCAAACGGGTCCTGTCCATGCAGAGAAGCTCCTTCTTTCTGGCCATTGAAGATATTATATCATCTTCTTGCAAGTAAACATCTCTATTCCTGAAGGATATTCACAGGAGAAGAACTTGTTTCCTTTTTAGACAAAGGCAAGGCCAGGCATGAGGTGTGTACCAAGTGGGAGCTTGTTGAGTTTTTCCTGCAGCCACGCACAGGATAATCTATGCAGTTAGTTGATTTGTGCAGCACAGCACAGGCTGCACCTGCTCAGGTTAACTGTCATGTAGATCTCTGGCTTCTTGCTGTACAGTGGTCTCCCAGTCAGGATCACCAGCTTCCAGCCCTTGACCTGCATACAGCTGACCTTTCCCAGAGACAGAATCATAGAACCATCAAGGCTGGAGGAGACCTCTGAGACCATTTAGTCCAACTGTTAGCCTGACACTGCTGGAACCCCTAAACCCTAAACCAGATCCTCCAGTGCCAGATCCAGACACTTCTTAAACACTTCCAGGGATGGTGAGATGGTGACTCCACCACCTCCCTGGGCAATATCCCAGTGCCTCAACACCCTCACAGGGAAAACATTTTTCCTCACATCCAATCTGACTCTGCCCTGGCTCAGCTCAAGGCCATTCCCTCTAGTCCTCTCCCTGCAGCCATGGCAGGACACAGATCCCCCACCTCTCTCCAACCCTCTCAGGGAGTTGCAAAGAGAGCCACGAGGTCACCCCTGAGCCTCTTCTCCAGGCTGAACAAACCCAACTCCCTCAGCCCTTCCTCACCCCACAGGTTTTCCAGCCCTTTGCTGCCCTCGTTGCCCTTGGCTGGACTCACTCCAGTGCCTCAACGGCCTTTGGGCAGTGAGTGCCCAAAGCTGAGCACAGCACTGAGCTGGGACCTCCTCAGTGCCCAGTGCAGGGGAATGAGCACTGCCCTAGTCCCTGTTGTAAGTTCTTCTCAAACCCTAGGTCCTAGTCCCAACAAAGCACACATGGCCTGTTCAAGATCAATATCCCCTTGAATATAATGTTTTCCACAGGCTCCTAATACAGTAACTCACCTCCCAGATTTTATCAGGCATAAAATTGTCATCCTTTCTATTATGCCTGCTATTTCTTAAATAATGTACTCTGACATAATTCAGTATGTCACTATTTTGGGTTAGAAAAATCATCAACGTGAAAGCTGAAATACCTGGTGTTGTGGATGTATTACAGCTACCATGGAATTCAGAGTTTTATGAGCTCTTAGCTTTTCTTATGGATTGGATCTCAGACCAGCATCTTAGCAAAATAAAAACACAAGAAGGAAGAGAGCACAGTCCTAAACGTACAGTTACCCAGAGCTCCAAACAAACCTGTACTCGGGAAAGGTGTCTGAAGGTAAAGGGGTTTGGATTGCTTGCTTGTCTCAATGTGTTTTCAGATTTATGGGGGGTTTTAAAGGATTCTGATAGTATATCAGGTCAGCATGTAATTTAAACAACACCTCTGTTAATAAGTCAGTGTTCATTGCAACAGTGAGATATAATGGGTCATTTGGTATTTCTAAAGCATACAGATAATTTTTGATGGAAAGTGTGGTGTTCAGTCTCAACATGAGAGGTGCAGCAGGTCACTTCAAGTCACTTCTGTCAGTTGACAGTTTGCCTTGTGTTTTACCTGTGATGCTGTACCTAATTCCTCTTTTTAAGGAGGAGATAAACAGGTTTAATTTAAAGTATTTTGGCACATATTTAGTTAATAAAGTTATACTATCTGATACTGTGTTATAATCTCAACACTTTTATTGTTTTCTTTCTGGTGATACCAAGGCTTGAAAAATGTGAGGTGTTCAGAAAATGCATTTTTGTTGTATTTCTTCATGATATAAAATATTTATATCCATTAGGGCTTGGGTTTACTGGGGTTGAGCTCACATGTGTCTCCACTTTTGCATGTAAAATTTGCAATCTGTGTATGCATATCATTCTGTTACCTGTGCTGGATCTGCCCACTGAGTATTTGCTTATCTAATCTGTTAAACTCCAGGAGAAAGTTGAGGAGGGTTGTTTTCCACTTATGGTTAGTTTATGCACTAGTTTCATATACTTGATGTAATTCCACTTCTGTTTTTACAGATTTTGCCTATAGCTACTGAACAACTCCAGTGGATGCCATTTGTGAATCCTAAACTGCACATGCCTGTGATTAGGTTTATTTACTGGTCTATAAGGCAGCTAGACAATGATATTCAGGTAAAAGAAGTTGTCTTTCACAATATCTTGTCTAAAAAACTAAATTCACAGAAGATATTAATGGATTTTGCATTTTAAATACATGTGGAAAGTGGATGTTTTCAGATAGTCTATAGAAAAGAAACTGCTGTCTTTTGGCATTGTGTATCTAAGTGGAGTTTTCCTAAATATGTGATCACTGCCGCAGTGTCTAAGCACATCAGACAGGATATATTTGCACATGTAGTTACAAAACTTGCTCCAGAAGAGGCAGTGTGTTCATGTCCACTTCATGCATGAGGTGTGTTGTGGCAAAGCAGCAAAGGGGTTTTGATGTTTCTGTCCTCTGCTTGGTGTCTAAGCACATTCCTTGCTGTCTATGGCTGGACTGCTATAAGGAAATATTTAGCAGTGTACAACAGAAAAATACAGTAGCCATACTGCAAACACTCAGCATAGTGCTCTCAGCAGTGCTGTTTCTAAATCAAAAGGTAGAAAATTCAGAGAATCACAGAACCATCAAGGCTGGAGGAGACCTCTAAGATCATTGAGTCCAGCCATTAACCTGTCACTGCTGGAGCCCCTAAACCCTAAACCAGATCCTCCAGTGCCAGATCCAGATGCCTCTTCAACACTTCCAGGGATGGTGACTCCACCACCTCCCTGGGCAATATCCCAGTGCCTCAACACCCTCACAGGGAAAACATTTCTCCTCACATCCAATCTGACTCTGCCCTGGCTCAGCTCAAGGCCATTCCCTCTAGTCCTCTCCCTGCAGCCATGGCAGGACACACATCCCCCACCTCTCTCCAACCCTGGCAGGGAGTTGCAGAGAGCCAGGAGGTCACCCCTGAGCCTCTTCTCCAGGCTAAACAAACCCAACTCCCTCAGTCCTTCCTCATCCCACAGGTTTTCCAGCCCTTTGCTGCCCTCGTTGCCCTTGGCTGGACTCGCTCCAGTGCCTCAATGGCCTTTGGGCAGTGAGTGCCCAAAGCTGAGCACAGCACTGAGCTGGGACCTCCCCAGTGCCCAGTGCAGGGGGATGAGCACTGCCCTAGTGCTGCTGCCACACTCTGCTGGAGCCAGGCCAGGATGCCCTTGGCCCTGTAAATATCCTGTGGTTAAACTCAATAGGATTGTAATCTTTTGTGCTTACTGCTCTAAGTAAGTATATTATAAATGGGCATCTTGTGAAGTTTGGTTCTGAGGTAATATTTGTGCATAGTTTATGGTGAAAAGTCTAATAGACATTACCAGTACAATGTTCTCAAGTTTCATATCTAGATCTTTACCCTGTAAATGCTTTTATGGGATATAACTTCAGGTAGCCTTACAAAACAGAGTTGACAGAAGCTGAGCTTTTTCTGGAACCAGAGGCAGATTAAATAATGTCAGGGTAACAGGGGCCCTTACTAATTAGTCTCTTGGGGAAGTATGTATTGATAAGGTGCTCTGATAATGCTGTTCAGCTGCTTTTGGAACACAGAGCAGTATCTCCTGTACAGATTATGTTCCAATACGTGGTCAAACTGTTTGCCCTATAATATTTAATGACATGGGGAACATGTACACAGGATTTAAATGTGTTTTAATGTTTACACTAACTGTGTGCACTGTTTGAAACAGCATGCGACCCTGAGGTCAACAGTGAGGAGACTTGGTGAAGATATTTTCAAGGGCATAGTAAGGAAGGGAAGCCCACATAGTTCTGAACTGTCTCCAGAGAGTAAATCAAAATCAGCAGTTTTCTTCAGGAGTTCCTGTATGCCTCTGAGGTTTCTGTCAACTTTAATTGTGCTTAAAACAGTGACACAAGGTAAGTCAGGATTTTTTAATACTGATTTATTTGTTTCACTCCTGTGCCTAAACAAAAAGCTTTTCAGTGATAGTGCAGAGTCTGTTATACATTCTTAGTGAAAAGTGGTTTTGCTTGATTTTCACTACCTTGTAAAGCAAATTATACAAATATGAATGTTGCTGTTATCCATTCCATGTTGGAATTTCTGCATTCCTTTATCTGACTTCTTGTCAGATAAGTCAGCATTCCTCAAGAAAGGGAAAAGAGATATGCTGACAATTCTGTCAGACTACTTTCCTTCCTCATCCTTTTGACACAGAGCTTAGTGTTCACTTTTCTGTTAGAACTTACAGAAGAAAAACCTTCAATCAGTCTGATGTATAGAGTTAGTTTTAAATTAACTTGCAGATTACAGATTCAGAAAGCCAATGGAATCCTGGGCTGCATCCAAAGGAGTGTGGGCAGCAAATCAAAATAGGTGATTCCTCCCCTCTGCTCTCCTGAGACCCACCTGGAATACTGCACACAGTTCTGTCGTCCTCAACATAAGAAAGACATGGAACTGTTGGACAAAGTCCAGAGGAGGACACGAAGTTAATAAGAGGTCTGGAGCATCTCCCCAATGAGGACAGACAGAGGGAGTTGGGGC